GCCATTTGTCCTGAGGGCAGAGGTTCTGCAATGAGGAGGGTGCCCCGTCCTAGGCTCCCTGCTTCAGGGCTGACATGTGCGCCCTGAGACACTTCCTGCTCACGAAACCTCTTCACTCTGAGGAGGGAGTCGCCGTCCAGGCCCGCAGAAATGCTGGGGGTGCTGGCAAAGGGGTGTCATTCATAAGGTTCCTGAGAACTGCTGACCGTGGGCATTCATGAAAAATGTGAATTGTTGAGTGACGTCCGGAGCTAACCTCTTCACTCTGTATGTTTTCCCCGCTGCTTAGACAGTGGTTCTCAACCTGTGGATCACGACCCCTTTGGCGGTCGAACGACCCTTTCACAGGGGTCGCCTAAGACCATCCTGCATATCAGATATTTACATGACGATTCATAACAGCAGCAACATTACAGTTATGAAGTAGCAACGAAAATAATTTTATGGTTGGGTCACAACATGAGGAACTGTATTTAAAGGGCTAGAAGGTTGAGAACCACTGGCCTATAGGATGGTGATAAATGCCAGAGAGAAAAATAAAGCAGGCAAGGAGATAGGAAGGTGTCAGATGGCAGGAGTGGGTTGCAATTTTAAATTGAATGACAAGGGAAGCCATTAGAAAGTAATGTTTGAACAAAGACCCAAAGGAGGGGAGGGACCAGTTGCTATGCAGACTGGGAAGGGAAGACTATTCCAGGCAGAAAGAAGAGCAAGTAAGAAGTCCTAGGTTGAGAACATGCCTGGCCCATCCGAGGAGCCAAGGGAAGGCCAGCGAGGAGCAGGAGAATCCGGTGAGCAGGGAGGGGACAAGGTCAGAGCTGTCACTGGGGCCAGATAGGGGAGAAGCCCAGAGGCCATGTGAAGATGTAAACTTTTGTTCCGAGCGAGAGGAAAGCCATTGGGCATTGTGAGCAGAGGAGTAACATGGGGTGACATCTGTATAAGTAAGAAGCTGGCTCTGGCCCAGCTGGTGAGGCTCAGTGGTTGAGCATCGATCTATGAACCTTGAAGGTCATGGTTGAATTCCTGGTCAGGGCACATGCCCAGGTTGTGGGCTCAATCCCCAGTGGGG